AATGTACTAGAATGTTTTGGTTCTATCTCTTTCACTCTACTCAAAACTGAAATGCATAAAAAAATGACAAATTGATGCATTCTGTCAAAGATCATTGAACACAAAATCAAATTAGTTCAAATCAAAACAAAAATACCAGCTTATCTGGTGGATGATGGCACAAGCTTTTAAGATAATTCTATTACAGTGAACCACATTATTATAATAGATTTCTTCGCCAGTTAGTCGTCTGTCATTTCGTTTGTATTTATAGATTACTATCGCGCATCATCTTTTTGCAGGAAATCTTCAGAATCGTCATCAATCTTCTTTCTATCTACACAGCGTGCGCGCAGCTAGCCACAACAAAACACAATCTTTTCTGCATCGTAGATAGAGTCGTGCCCCTCTATGCGACCTATAAAGAGATAATCTTAAATGTAAGTATCGATCAATGAAGATTTTTAAATGTATTCATCGAAATCAAATAAAATTTAAAGTAACGAATTACCGACATACATTTTTATTTTTGTATAAAGAAATTTGAAAAAGTTTCACGAATGGTTGATCGGGAGAGGCATCAACTTCAAATGACTTCTAACGAGAAAGAAAATTAGCGGGTGTAGTGAATCATTATATCAGCGATTTTTTTTCGAATTCTATCAACATCAATATTACAAACTCTCATTATTTATCATTACCAAACGTATCCCACGATAAATGTAATGCTCACTGCGTGTTTATGATCATTTTTTCGATTATATTTTAAATTGTATAGCAATATCTTTCGTGGAGCTTTCATTGAATGGTAAGTTTTGTTTATTTTGGACGATAGGTACCCGATTTGACAATTCAATAGGTAGACCTGGCTTCAATCTTGGCGTGACCCATAATACACTGACTTTAATACAAACTATAGATACTATAGTTGCCATAGATAAGCGGAGGAACAAAAAGATGTTTTGGCAACCATGAAAAATAATTGATCTTACTGGCATCTGTGAAAAAAGTTCATGCCATCATGCTCTATAGAGCTTTTCGTTGTGCAGTTTTGTTTTGTTTCGTACGAAAAAGTTCAAAATGAAGTGTAAAGCACATCTTTGCAACAATGAATCGATGAATGGTTTGCTTTATCTATCCTTCTTCCGTTGTCCGCGGAGTAAATCGGAATGTGGAGTGTGGAAAGCGTTTTGTGCTCATAATATTACAATACTTCTCCCACCGACAAACCGACATGGCACTTAATTCTGACTTATGCCCGAAAATCGTAAACGTCTGATTTAAATGTGCAGTGATATGAAGTGTCAAAATCATATGATTTTTTGATCTAGATAAAAATAATGTGTCCAGAATACATCAGACACGAACCAAATCATAACTTTTGCATGCGAGTTCATGGCTTAGCTAAATATTTCCCGCAAACACGGAGCCAGATGTCAGTAGTGTGCTTTGGTCAGACATTTTATTGGTTTTGCTATGGTCATTCATGTCGGGTTGTCTGTGCTTCTCCCTCAAACAACACCATGATGACGTCATGCTCGTTTGGCTTCTCTAACTGACAGTTCGTTTGGCTCTAGGTTTAGCTACATTATACCAATAATACTTTGCCTACTCTAATAACAATGTTCGGGTTATTATCCAAACCATTTGTGGAATAGTTCAATAATTCGGGTTATCATTCGTGTATGGTATTTTTTTATTAGGGTACGCTTATCTATGGAATCTATAGTATCTATAATGCAAACTACCGTTATAACATCTAATGCTATCATAATTCCGATTAACATTTTTTATAGTCACGTTAAGGGGGGAGGGGTGTGTAAGATTATGTGACGAGCTTGGTGACGAGCACTGCATTAGGCATAGAAAAAACGTGACGAAAACGGGGGGAGGTGGAATTTGTAAAATTAGTGTAAAGGAAACAATGAAAATCATTGTTAACAAATGTGTTTCGAGGTATTGTAACAGTAATATTTAATGTATTCTTACTGTTGTTTTTTTTTTTAGGTAAATGACCTTTCTGGCGTTTCTAACACACACACTTGCGTAATCCCATTTCAAGGGCGAAGTTTGTTATCCGCAAACGTTGATTTGTTATAGGCGAATCAAATAGAAACCAAGCGATTGTTTCAGCCTCTGCGGTGAATAGGGGAACACTCAAAAGAGTGATGAGGGTGAAAATTTTCACCGTGAAGCATCGGAGAAGGAAAATAATTTCACCTTTCCGGATTAATTTATCTACCGCAGGTGCATGTAATCATCATTCACGTCGAATATTTTGTTTGCTGTATCGGGTTTGCAGTGATCCGGCTGCCCAACAAACATTGAATATTGAATAAGAGCTTATTCAGGCAACAATAAGCTTCTTCAGCTAAAAAATTGCTTATTCAGCTGTTAATAAACTCAAATTGTTTGCTGGGTGGTGCTTCCATATATTTTTGATGAGAAAGATTTGGATTTATAAAATTGTCCTAGCGGTTACACGAAACGAAAATCAATTATTTTATTCATGTGTTTCACTTATACATTTTTGCCAAAACATCAGCCTTATGCATTACATAAGACAAACCTCATAGGTCCTATAAGCATACATAAAGGGTATGTGTGACCGCTTATACATTTCATTTGACTCATGATCTTCATTAACTTTTAGCAAGGCGTCTGCTTATTAGTTGACGTATACATTTTATGAATAATCAGTAATAGAAATTTTCTAACAGGTATAAGGAGATTTCTATCCGTGTACACAGCAAAAAAATAATTTCGATCAATGTATTGCTGATTGCATCTGAAACTGGACTGCCCCAAAAATGCAAAAAGTGTGATAAAAGTGCACCTTCGCGTCAAATCGTTTAGGTGTCTTCGGAGCACTTATTGCTTGCATCATAAGAAATAAGTGCACCAAAGACACCAAGACGATTAAACGGAAGCTCGCACTTTCATCACACTTTTTAATAAGTGAAAACGCGCTTATTAGTCCAGTTTGGTATGAAACGCGCAATAATTCAAGCTGATGTATGAAATAATGATGTAATAGCAAAAAGCAAGATACAATATTACATCAATGGATGTAATTTTGTTCGCAAAATCGATGTACATCGTACAACGTTATATTAAACAATCGATTGATTGACCTGGTTGCAGCAGTTTGGATGTAATATTCAACAACTTTTTTTTCTGTGTATGATCTTCCGGATTTTTAATGTGTGGTTACTTCAGCTGTAAATTTGTTCAGATCTGTACACGGATAGAAATCTCCTTATACCTTTTGGCAAATTTATATTGCTGATTATTCATAAAATGTATAAGTCAACTAATAAGCAGACGCCTTGCAAAAAGTTTATGAAGATCATGTGTCAAATGAAATGTATAAGCGGTCACACATACCTTTTATGCATTCTTATAGGACCTATATGGTTTGTCTTACGGAATTTATAAGGCTGATGTTTGGCAAAAATGTATAGGTGAAACACATGAATAAAATAATTGATTTTCGTTTCGTGTAGATAAACGAAAAATAAGACCACTCCCGATGGAAGTTTGCAAGTTGTGCTATAAAACGTACATTATTTTGAGTTTTGAAAATCGTCATTATGATCTAAACGAATGGGTTGAATGACATTTCCTCTCAAAATCGGCTTGCGCACTCTACATTGATGGTGCATGAAAAGAACCTATTGTAATCCTCACTTTCGCACTATCAATACTCGTATACGTACACGAAACGTAATTCAATTATTTTATTCATTTGTTTCACTTATACATTTTTGCCAAAACATCAGCCTTATACATTCCATAAGACAAACCACATAGGTCCTATAAGAATGCATAAAAGGTACGCTAATAAAATTCCACACATTTTTATTGACGAATTTCCATGTGAAATTCCACATGATTTTCATGTGACCACACATAAACAGGATCCACCCAGAAGCACACATGAAATTTATGAGTCAAATGAATAGTTTGTGTCGTTACACATGGCTTTTATGTGTACACATATTAAGTATGTGTCCGACACATAAATATCATTCGTTGATCACATTGCAAAAATTCATGTGTGGGACACATAAAAACGATCTTTGAAATTTTATCAGTGTATGTGTGACTGCTTATACATTTCATTTGACACATGATCTTCATTAACTTTTAGCAAGGCGTCTGCTTATTAGTTGACGTATACATTTTATGAATATTCAGCAATAGAAATTAAAACGCTGTCCAGACTGGAGAGTTATAACAAGTCAAAAAAATGCAACACAGAAACCACCATCAAGATAGCGCTATAACATGTTAAAACCATAGAGGTAACTCTAAGACCACTGGGTCCCGAAGAAAATCATTATTATTTTTGGCTCACTCAGTACCAGAACAACGGTCCCAAGCAGTCCCAAGCTATTTCACTCACCCCTGCATGTTCTGCATGAATCCACACACCCCTGATGTTATCTGTCAAACTTTCATAGAGAATCAAAACAAACATAGTGTAGTAATAGAATTTCAACTAGAATAGGGTACGTTAATCGTTTGCTTGGGACCAATAGGCTACTAAAGTGGTGAGCCAATTTAAAATCGTTAGTTTCGTATTGATTGTTGTTATAACTCTGTAGTCTGAACGTACTATAACCAACAGGTATAAGGAGATTTCTATCCGTGTATCGAATGGACTATGCCCGTATTCCATCTTGTTCGTTCGCCACCCCTTCGACCGTCCCTGATGAAGGAAACTGTCAAAAGCAGCAAGCAGAGTAAAACGACACCCTGCGCATTTCAGCCGCGCGTGTCAGTTTTTGCACGAAAACTTCGAGAGCAACATCGCAAAAGTGGAGAGCGAAAAGTGCATTTCGGTTAAAGCCAGCCAAATACAGTGCAAGAAAAGACCACCAGTATGGCTGATCGTGTTACGAGACAATTTCTGCTAGTAAAACCGTGAAAATGTGTCTAGAAGTTATGAATTTCAGTGCATGCAATCGATCGGTTACGGAAACAAAGTGAGTGTAGCTCGGTGGCACAATGGAAGCCTCAGTTCGGTGCGTGAAATACGGCGAAGAATAATCGATTTTGTCCTTTTTTTTTCCATCCACCTCCCCAACCCCCAACAACAAGAAAAGAGAGAGTTTCTGATTCGTTCCAATCCAGAGCTGTCATCGAAATTATTTTTTGCGAAAAATAAAATATGAATGCAAAATTGAAACAAAAAATACTGAATCAGTTGCAAAGTTGGTGAAGCGCTTTGGTTTTCCATTGCTGGAGGAAGTGCAAGTGCAATTTGGATTAGCAGCTGAAGGTTGGTTGGCGTCTTGATCCAGAATTCTTGGCCACTGGTCTTGGATCGGCCCACTCGCAGATCGGCCGTGACATTTGCCGTTTGTGGAGGTGCTTGCTCTGTTTATACTGCCATCGTTTTGAGCGAGCTGGAAGTTCTCCCATTTCCGAGGTAAGTGCAACGCTAGAATATACAATTACTCCACTGTCTGACGCGACGTATGCACTTCCTTGGTACCGGGAGGTCAGCCCGAGGTTTTTTTTTTTCAGTAGACATCTGTCTAATTCGCTACTGTACACATATTCTATCTCCCCGAAGGTTCCCATCTTGCGATTGTGTGTTGGTTTCGATCGCCTTCACGCAAGCTTTACCCCCGAGTATGTTTTCTGCACAGTGAGCCAGCGCAGTGACGGAAGTGGCAAAAATTTGGATCCCCATTGAGCAAGAAAATTCGTTTTCTTATTTTGATGTTTTTGCAAGTCTTGATAGGAAGTAATTAATATAAATAATGTAATGCTATTTTCCTCTTCAAATGATATCCATGGTTATTAATAATGGTATCAAGTAGGGGTAAGAGGGGCATAGTGAACAGGTGGGGCAAAGTGAGCATCCCGTGCACCAGCTTGGACTTCCGGCCATTCAGAACAAATTTATTGGTGGTAGGATCAATATCATAATGATATTGAACCTACTACCAGTTGATTTGTTTCATGCAGCTAGAGATCCAGGGCCAAACTGCGGGATGCTCACTATGCCCCTCCTCCCCCTACGTATATATTTATTGAAGATACATATTAGTATTTTAGTTTATATATCAGTTTTGAATTATGCTGCTTTTTTGTGAGATTTGAACTCGTCGTGACTTTGGCGTGAGAGGAATGGATTCTAACCACTACGCCGGGGTCGCCTCCTCAATTATGCAGCTTTTTCTCTTGAAAGCAACTAAATTAGATTCCTAATGTTGGCTTCTACAGTGGAAAACCTATTTAAAAAAGAGAGAAATATTGGTAATTCCCATTTAATTCCACTATCTTAATTGCTTATTCTTGACATATCAGTGGGGCAATGTGGCCACCCGCTTAAAAACCAGCTTATTGAACATATTATACAAAAAAAAAACTGTTGCAGGTTTAATGTCTCTTATAACTTATCGTTGATATTCCTTCAGCAGTTTTATAAATCCGAAGAGCTTACTTTTGCTAACAAACAAGTCAATCGCCTATTTCTCGCGAATAAAAGCTCCATCTTGCGTACAAACTATACCAAATGATAGAGGAATCATTCCTCTACCAGTTTATGTTTTTAATTTCTGATATTGAGCTTGGATTCGCCAGAAATCGACGATTGACGGTCATTGGTCATGGGTTTCTTATATGACTAAAAATATCGGAAATGGTCATTGGTTTCTTATATGATACGATGTTTTTCTGGTTTTTTATTTCTTTATTAGAGAGACTTTCAGCCGAGGGCTAGTTCTTCTCTGAAAGATTTTCTTAACAAAATATAACTTAAGTCCACCACTGCACCACTGATATTTCAACTAAATTTTTCAATTTAGCATTATTCATTTCATAAATATGACTGTATCTTATGAAATCACGTTTTGAAGCAGCTGCTTTGGTAAAAAATCAGTTATTCTCAAAGCTAAAAAAAATGTAGCTCTAAATGGGCAGTAGGGGTAAGAGGGGCATAGTGAACAGGTGGGGCATAGTGAGCCTCCCGTGCACCAGCTTGGACTTCCGGCCATTCGGAACAAATTGGTTGATGGTATCATAATGATATTGAACCTACTGTCAGTTGATTTATTTCATGCAGCTAGAGATCCAGGGCCAAACTGCGGGATGCTCACTATGCCCCACCTGTTCACTATACCCCTCCTCCCCCTATGTACTTCTTAAATTTAAATTATTCTACAGAAAATAATAACTTCTTTTAAATTTTTTTATGCGAAAAAGTTCATTGTTGACCCTTCATAAAGCCTCAAGAGAGCAGAATATTCTTACCCGTTGTTTAGAACGTCACTCATACTAAAGCCCTACAGTAAGAGTATGGACGTCTGTAAAAAGTTGTGCCGTTTTGCTCGATTGGAACAGCTTTTTTCGGTTTAGTGGTGACAGTCGTCCATACTTTAACTAGAAGGTTTCAGCTCATACCATCCCGATAGGGTGCTCATTTTACCCCAACAACTGTTTAATTTCGGTTACAAATCGAACCTTTTTTAAATCTTCTTTCATAAGATTCAAAAGTTTTCAATATTCAATTTGTATGTATGATGTAAATAGGGCTTGAAACTATCCATTTGGTTAAACATCATTCGAATTTTCCACTGAACTTTGTATGATTAGTGATAATTTTTTTAAGGTTGCCGAGCTGACCCACTTTCCCCTAGGCGTATTTTGTCTACAATGTGCAGACTTCTTATGCTTCTTTGGCGGCTGCCGCTTTAGCTTACTCAGTAGAAGATCGTGGGTTTACTCCCAAGCTCCTTGAGAACAAAACAATTACTATGGTCGCATCACCTGCTTAACTGAATCCTGACCCATCTCCTACCAAACTATTCAACTCCGTATCATCTATGGGGGCGTCGGTGAGGCGCTGGCCTCCCGTTAAGTAGATGCTACATCAACAATATCCTTCCTTTCCCCGTAACGGAGAAGATGGGCGTGGCCGGCAATGGTAATTGTCATGCTTTTCCTGTTCTGAACTTTGATTGGAAAACTATTCACTCCTAAATAGTTTTCCTTAAGCAATCAGAGTAAGAACGTTAAAGTTGATACATGACAGTTGCCAGTATGCAATCTACGAATTACTCCGTTACACACGCAACGCACGCAACACGCATGTGCAGACTTCTTATGCTTCTTGATCTATTGTCGACTGACGAAAGCATCGAATCTTCCGATTACTAAGCATATGTACATTTTTTGGGTAAGAGACTAAAGGCCGAATGAAAAATGGCCCAAGCCCAAAAAGCAGAAAATTAATGGACCTATCCCAAAATAGCCGATAAATCATAAATATATTCATCGTTCGGTAACTGTCAAATATATACTACTAGCTGAGTGTGCCCGGCCTTGCTCGGGATTCAATATTAGCTTGAGTTTATGCGCCAATTCAAAAAAGCATGCTATCTTTTTCTGTTTCATTTGTATGGGAGCCCCCCTTTTACAGAGGGGGGAGGGTTCCCGAACCATCATAAGAACCTTTTCCGGCCCCAAAAACCCCTGCATACAAATTTTCACGCCGATCGGTTCAGTAGTTTCCGAGACAGACAGACAGACAGACAGATAGAAATTCATTTTTATATCTAGAATGGAGCTGGAATTAGGGCTTAACAGCTTTTGTAAACAATGACCTATATCGATGATTTCTAGAAAGTCAAAGCTCGCCCACGCAAATCAACATAACCAACAGGTAGGGGAAGTCGTCCCAGGATAAGTTCATTTGTTTACATCACGGCTTCACCGGAGCAAGCACGTCTCGAATCGATCCTGCACGCTCGAAACTAAAATCCTGGTCTATCCGCTCCTGGCAGTTTTGGTCAAATTCCTGGGTAAAAATTTTATACCTCGGTTGACTGGAAGAGTAACCCGGGAGCAGGGACGGATCGCTCTTTTGGGACTTTTTCTTTGCTTTTAATATAGAATGCTTAAATTAAATCCAATTGAATTTTCAGTTGTTCCACCAAAAAAAAAAGATAGTTTAGAGCTATTAACCTCCCTATCAAAATTTAAAATTTCCAAACCACAGAGTCACACTCTGTGTTTTCACCAAGGGGTAAGTCACTCAGCACAGCGTGCCAAAAACACAGTAAGGCACACCATGGCTCACTCATTGGCACTGTTTGGCACCCATGGTACATATTTTTTTTTGTGATCTCTAAAGTAACTGGCATCACTGCATTATTTCTGAAGTGTCAAAATTTGATTGTTGACACAAACCATTTTCGGTATCCACAATAGATAATTTCGCCGGAGCCTCCAACTCACCCTAACTGCTATGATCCACAACCGAATATGAATTTTTCAAAGCCAACACAGGAGTTCAGAAACTGCCACGGAATTGGGAAGTTTATGTACTCCTGTATTGACTTCCAGATGTTTCACGGATTTTGAAGCAAAAATATTCACTAACATTGCCTGTTGTAGAGCTCCAGACATATATACGCTATCCGGCACACCAACATAACCACCAGCCGGCCGAATCACCAGGAAGCATTTAACGCTCAACTTGGACTAGTTCATGATTGATTAAAATAGAATCGCTGCTACTTCGCCACTAAACATTTTAATCTCCGTCTCGGAATAAAAATCATTAAAAATGAATCCAACAATATATTAATTAAATAGCAGTAAATCATTTAAAAAAAAATTTACTGACCTATTCGACATTGGACATGCTCATCCTCATCTTCACCATCGACGTCATCCAATATCGTCTGGCTGCAAAATTGAACTGTGACGAATTAATTTCCTGTGTCATCCATTCCGCCTCCAGGATGATGATCCGAGTTTTGGGATTCTTGTCAACGGATTTCCTCAACGTCCACGAATGGGTTCTCGAAGAACAACGACACATACAGTGTCACACAGAGAGCTCACATTTCCAGTCCAGGGCAGGAGTATCGGTTGCCTACCAACACTTCCAGACTGCAGTACTCGGTCGTGCCGTCGAAGGTAGAAAAAACTTGCCCTTCCTGAACGAACGTCAGCTTGATATGGAAATGGTGATCGATGATAACGTCCTCATCTTTGATGTCGCGGTGCAG